TGTTACCCAGGCTGGAGTGCAATGGCGCGATCTCGGCTCACCGCAACTTCCGCCTCCTGGGTTCAGGCAATTCTCCTGCCTCAGCCTCCTGAGTAGCTGGGATTACAGGCACACACCACCATGCCCAGCTAATTTTTGTATGTTTAGTAGAGACGGGGTTTCACCATGTTGACCAGGATGGTCTCGATCTCTTGACCTCGTGATCCACCCGCCTCGGCCTCCCAAAGTGCTGGGATTACAGGCTTGAGCCACCGCGCCCGGCCAAGAGATGGGGTCTTGCTCTGTCGCCCAGGCTGGAGTGCAGTGGCATGATCATAACACTGCATCCTTGAATTCCTGGCCTCAGGCAGTCTTCCCATCTTGGCCTCCCAAAGTGCTGGGATTACCTGCATGGGCCACTTTGCCTGGCCTTCTCTACATCTCTCTTAAGGACACTCGTGGTTACATTTAAGGCCTACTTGGATAAACCAGGATAATCCCCCATCTTGAGATCCTTAACTTAATCATCTGCAAAGTCCCATTTTTGATTTAAGGTAACATTTGCAGAGTATTATTCAGCCTACTACAGTGTTTTAACCCCAATAAAATAGTAAAATAATTCCATAATTCATTCTGATGAGCAGCCAAGAAAGAGTATTGTTATCATGACTGTCTGATTTGAATTAAATTAATGTCTTAATATCTCTTCTATATAAGAGTTAATGGGCTTAAGCTGAGGGAAAAATTTATGCTAGATATAAGCTTCACAGTCAGGATATTTTTTATTACTATTGGAATAATCAAAGAGAAGCTTAAAAATCATAAAGGTTTTTTTTTTTTTTTTTTTTAAAGACGGGGTTTCACCATGTTGGTCAGGCTGGTCTTGAACTCCCAACCTCAGGTGATCCACCTGCCTTGGCCTCCAAAGTGCTTGGATTACAGGCTCACTGAGCCACCACACCCGGCCTTAAAGATCTTTTCAGAGCAGGAAAGGTCTTAACTCATCTGGAAGAGATGAGGCATAGCTGAATCTCTAAAATCATCTTGGCCTATGGAAAAGAGAAGACGCTTAGATACCAAACGAGGCTTGGATCTCAGCTCTGCCACTTAGTAGCTTTGTCACTTGGGACCTTAACCTGGTGCATTATTGATTAACCATTATACCTGGCACATAGTAGGTACTCAATAAATGAGAAGGCCTCTGAGTTTTATCTTTTTGTTTGTTTGTTTTGTTTTGTTTTCTGAGACAGAGTCTTGTTCTGCTGCCCAGGCTAGAGTGCAGTGGGCTGATCTGGGCTCACTGCAACCTCTGCTTTCCGGGTTCAGTGATTCTCCTGCCTCAGCCTCCTGAGTAGATGAGATTACAGGCACATGCCACTACATCCAGCTAATTTTTTTGTATTTTTGGTAGAGATGAGGTTTTACCATATTGGCCAGGCTAGTCTCGAACTCCTGATCTCGTGATCCACCCTCCTCAGCCTCCTAAAATGCTGGGATTATAGGAGTGAGCCACTGCGCCCAGGTGATCTCTGAGTTTTTCAGAATTTGATAATTACCCAGAACCTACCCTTTTATGTAAAATATTAATAATGGTACCTACCTCATCGATTGATTATAAAAAGATAAAGTATGTAAAGCCTCTAGGAAAAAAAACTGGCACAAAGTAATGTTCACTGTGGTAATATTTATTATTTGTACTATACGTATACGATAAAGTTGTATGTAACATACAAGGGTCCCTGCTTGCTCAATTTTCTGATTGAAAGTCATGCCTGGGGCAATGAGAAGATAAATCTGAGCAACTTTATAAACTCTTCGATTTTGTTTTGCTTCAGGTTGCCACATTCATCCTCCAGAAGATCTTGTTAGATGACACTGGTTTGGCTTATATATGTCAGACATATGAGCGTTTCTCCCATGTTGCCATGATCTTGGTGAGTTCTTTGATCTATTCCCTTTACAACTACTTCTCATCACACAGTTTAATCTCTTTATAACTGGCACTGAACAACTCCAGTCTTCCAACTAGAAATAACAATTTTGGAACCTTGTATGATTCTTGGATTATCTGATTTCTGATGTCAATTAGAATATTTTTGTGTTTTGTGTGTTTTTTCCAACCCCTCCCTTTATTTGGGGGGAAACAGGGTAAGATGGTCCTGCAGTTGTCCAAAGAGCCTTCTGCCCGTCTGCTGAAGCATGTAGTGAGATGTTACCTTCGACTCTCAGATAACCCCAGGTAAACATTTAGAGGCTATATAGGACTTTAGGGAAATACTCTGCTGAACAGTCTCCCAATCTCATGGCATAAGTCCTGTGTCTTTAGGAGAGAGAAGGGGGATATAACTACATTTAGTTTGTCTGAGACAGAACTTAGATTTCTTTTAAAATCTGAAATGCTGAATTTTAAAAGCCATCAGAGTTTATCTTCTCACTGTAACTCTCAATGCTACTGTGAAATTCCAGAGAGCTTAGGCAATTCCGAGGGAAGCCTTATGATGCATTACTCCTGTTGTTTGAACTTTCTGTTGCTACTCTACATGGTCAGAAAGAGAAGTATATTTTCAAAGATCTCTTAGAAAGGAATATAGCCCAGAGGGCTCTTGAATTCTATTTCCAGTTCTCTTCTTGATTCCTATAAGTTTCTTGAGCTAATGATTTTATCTGCTTATATTCATAATCTTTCTGCCAGAAATCATACATTGTAGATATAATGCATTTTAGAAATGTTTCACCTTTTGCTTTGTAAGTCCATAATTCATCCTGAAAGCAATTTGCTCATATTCTGCTAAACCACATAATGGAGCAATTTCTGTGTTCTAGGAACAGAGCTAGCCTGATTTAATGTGAACTCAGTCTCCTGCCACTGAGTTTATTCCAGCCCTACCTGTTTGTTGACCATTTTGTCCTGTTCTTCAGTGGTTCTTGTTTTCACCAAAGTTTAAAAATGTGTTTATTTAAAAATTCTACTTGTACAAAGAAAACTAGTTTGAGTGCAAAAACTATAACTTTGTTTTAAAAAGCTCTATAAGTAGTTAAGATTTACTTTTTTTAGGTTTTCAGATTTGACTTTCTGCTGGTCATCTTTGCAAAGAAAATGAAACGTTTAAAAGTTCATCTGATAATGCTGCTACCATAGTTTTGTTTTTACTGCTCATCTCTTATTAAGGTTTTTAACCATAAGACTGAAGCAATTTCTGTAAAGATACAAACTGATAAGTTAGTACAGAATTAAAATTCATTTAGTTATAAGTTTGATGATATCCTTGTTAATGTACTGATTTTTGAAATATTTTATTTGCTATAATCCATATATATCTAACATAAGTATTTTGACAGTATTTACTGTAATAAATCAGAAAGCTGTTTAAATTGAAGTAAACTATTGAACCTTTTAATTTTGCTTTTTCATGAAATTCTATGTTGGGGCATCATTCAGAAAATGGTTGTGGATGTAGAGGTCTCTGAGCCTATACCTAATATAGGTTTAGAGAATTTTAATGGCTTCTTAAGGAGCCATAGATTCACAGTATTCTGAATATTAATGTCTAAGAAGGGGGCTCTTCCCTGTCCACAAAATGTGGGTTTATTTGTTGGTCTCCCTGGTTGGTTTGTTTGTTTCTGATGTAGGGCACGTGAAGCACTCAGGCAGTGCCTCCCTGACCAGCTGAAGGACACAACCTTCGCCCAGGTGCTAAAAGATGACACCACCACGAAACGCTGGCTTGCACAACTGGTGAAGAACCTGCAAGAGGGCCAGGTCACCGATCCCCGGGGTATCCCCCTGCCCCCTCAGTGATCCTTCCCTGTTCCCTCCCACTACTCCCCCAAGTTGGGGAAAGGAGGGGGAACCTACGAGGAAAACAGCTCAGGTTTTATCACCGACTGGGAATAGACAACCTCAATGCTGAACCGCACTGGAGAAAAGGGGCAAGGTACCCCTGCTGAGGTGTATGGGCTGCCATCTCAGGCTGTCTTGAGGACCTGGGCCCCCTCTACTACTCCCAGGAAACGGGCTCCTGACACAGCAGTCTGCCACCACAGCCCCAGGAGGCTGTCAACACCAGCAAATGCTGTACTTGCAGCATGTCCAAGATGACCCTTCTCCCCTACCTCTACCTAGCCACTGGCAGGGAGGGGAGACAGTGGTGATAGCAGCAGCACTCTAGGCATGGTGAACGCCTGGGACCAAGCCATGTGGCGTTTTTTATTTTGCCTTCCTGGACAACTCAAGATGTGTGTCTTCATTCTCTCTCAGTATTTGTTTACTTTGGTTTTTTGTTTTTAATCTCAGAGAGAGGTGTGTTTAGTGGGCACAAGCTGTAATATTCAGCAAAACTTTGTCAATTGGCACTGTTTACAAGTCTGTTAGCTGCATAAGCTCAATAAAAAGTTGGTCTGGGCATTACATCCCCTCTGGCAGGCCAATAGCTGCATCCAGCTCTTGGGAGAAATGGGAAGAAGGGGGAAGATGTAAAGCCAAAGGACAGCAGGAACCCAACGCCTGTTTCCCCTCCCTCCCATTCTACTCCCAATCCGGAATGCCATAAGGACCTTAACCTTATTTCTGGCTTAAGCTGCTAGTTTTCCCAAATCTCAGTGCTTTCCCTTTTTTAACTTCCCTTCTATTAAACTTAAAGCAGACGTCTTAATTCATCAGGCTGTCTTGGAAGGGTATGGTATTGGGGGACAAGGGGCAGTGATGGACCTCACCTTCAATCCAAATTTTCAAATATATTTTCTGGATAACTCTAAAAGGGAGGTGCTCGGGATTAAGGTGGACAGGCCACTTGATCCTATTTTTTGTTTTAGTGTGAATTTCTGCAGCTCCATCTGTCTTCATGATTGTATTTGAGCAGTATTAGCTGTATGCATTAATTTTATTCAGATTGAAGATGGAGGGCTAGATTCTGCTCACTCACTCAATCTTTTTTTTTTTTTTCTTTTTCTTTTTTTGACACATTCTCTTTTGGTCTATGGAAATGACAGGGTTGCCACTAAAATATTTACTTGTTCGTGTTGTGTCAGAGGTTTCCTCTTCTCTGGAGCTTAGGTGGCTCTGTTCACAATCCACAGGCTTGAATGGGCATCCTAGTGTAAACTGCCTTGCTTTCCCCCAGTCCTTCCCACTACTAACACCTGCTTTTCATCCCCATCTCCAATCAAAGATGGGATTGCTTAATCCAACTCTAGAGAGGGACCAAGTCTTTTCTGCCCACATGTTACACAATTGAGGTGTCTGAACAAGTTTAGGGAGGGTCTTCAAGGGGCTGGCTCAAAAAAAAAACCTTTGCAGAGGCAGTTTTGCCAACACAAGGGCTCTTTCAAGCCGACTTTCACTAAGAGAGCCGGACTTGTTAGTTGGCTTCTGTCTCTTTAGAGCCAACAAAATAGTAATTAAGTAGCCTAGATGTAGGAAGGGCAGAATAAGCACTTATTCCCGTGTCTTCCAAGATGAAGAGGAGAACCAGGCTAACCCTCAATAATTGCAAGCCTAAAGAGAAGGGATCTTAGAGAAAGCAGAGAACAGAATGGACTGGATAGACATCTTGACTCTTCAGTTCATAGTCTGTGATCTGGAGAGTCCTGTTAAGGTAACCCTGATTTTTGACAACCGCCTTCCTGCTGAGCCAAAGTTTTCTCATTCCCCCTCCACTGGGGAAGCAGCTGAGGCCCAGGGCCTTGCTCCCTGGGAAGTTCTCTTCTCTCCATCTTTCGGTGCATTGGCCATGTTACTGTGCCAATAGTGTCTTAATTCTTGTCCCATCTATTCTCAGCTGGCCTTGGAACCCACATAGGAGTTGGTGGGGGAGGGGTGGAATGGGTATTATTCATTGTAGTTGATCCTGATGTGTATATTATATAAAGAGACCCCTCCCCTTATTTTGTGTTTCCATCCCTCTCCCTCAACAGGATTGAAATAAAACATGCTTCTGTTTTTGTAAAAATAATTTTTCCTTTACACTGGAGATTTTATTCTCTCAGTATATGGGCACTTTGGTCAGGTGATCCTTGTCATGCCTGCGTCTACCCTCTGTCCACCTACACAACACACACACACGCTGTCCTGCCAATATGGTGGTGGTGGTTCTTTTGTGAACACGTGTTAATGGAGATTCCAACTGAGGTACAAAAGCTGTTTGGGAGGCTGGGATGGAGATGATGCCCCATACCTGATAAAAGTGTCTTTATTAGCTGGCCTTGATAAAGTGGAACAGAACCTCACTCCTAGCCGTAGTGGCCAGAACTTAGGGCCAGTCTAGGAAGAGACTTCCATAGTAAAGAAGTAATGCTTGAAATGTCTTATCATTTTCCTCAAGTTCAAGGCTTGGAGCACATCTCCAGGATTGTTTCCATGCCTAGCTCTCAGTGGGACACAACTGAGCTATGCTTCCACATGCTTTTTTCAGGGGCCTTAGAGGGCCTGTGGCCGTTTCACCGGTGGAACAGGAGCAGGCAGCACTGGTAACCTTCAGAGCATGCCTTGCCTACTGTCAACGTATTACTCCTCTGCTCACTTCGTGCTGCTTAAAGCCTAAGAAAAGGGGAATATGCAAAGTTGTTGCTATTAAAAACTTAAAACAGGCTGGGCGCGGTGGCTCACGCCTGTAATCCCAGCACTTTGGGAGGCCGAGGCGGGCGGATCACCTGAGGTCAGGAGTTCAAGACCAGCCTGACCAACATGGTGAAACCCTGTCTCTTAAAAAAAAAAAAAAAGTTGGCCGGGTGCGGTGGCTCAAGCCTGTAATCCCAGCACTTTGGGAGGCCGAGGCGGGTGGATCACGAGGTCAAGAGATCGAGACCATCCTGGTCAACATAGTGAAGCCCCGTCTCTACTAAAAATACAAAAAATCAGCTGGGCATGGTGGCGCGTGCCTGTAGTCCCAGCTACTCAGGAGGCTGAGGCAGGAGAATTGCCTGAATTTGGGAGGCGGAGGTTGCGGTGAGCCAAGATCGCGCCATTGCACTCCAGCCTGGGCAACAAGAGCGAAACTCCGTCTCAAAAAAAAAAAAAAAAAATTAAAAAAACAAAACATTTGGAATAGGAAAACGTAGAATGAATGATATTTATTTTTCCTGATACATTATGGAATTTAATTTTTGGAAAAATAGTTTGATAAGCTTATTTCAAAAGCAGATATAACAAGCAGAAATTTTTTTTTTTTAACAGTTTTGCTCGTCGCCCAGGCTAGAGTGCAATGGCGCGATCGTGACGCACCGCAACCTCCTCCTCCTGGGTTTAAGCAATTCTACTGCCTCAGCCTCCTGAGTAGTTGGGATTACAGGCTCCCGCTGCCACACCCTGCTAATTTTTGTATTTTTAGTAGAGATGAGGTTTCACCACGTTGGCCAGGCTGGTCTCAAACTCCTGGCCTCAGTTGATCTGCCTGCCTCAGCCTCCCAAAGTGCTGGGATTACAGGCATGAGCCACAGTGGCTGATGAACTAGCAGAAAATGTGAATAACACAGTTAACAAACCTGGCTTAATTGACACTCATAGTACACTGCACTCTTAACCAACAGTATACATATTCTTTTTAATTACACCTAAGCATTTATCAGAACTGATCATAGCTGGACCACCAAGCCTCAAAACATTTCCAACAAATTGAATAGACTATTCTCCGACCACAGTGGGAGTAAGCTAAGAAGATTAACTGGAAAGTCCCTAGCTGTTTGAAACGTAGACACACTGGCTTAAGCCTGTAATCCCAGCGCTTTGGGAGGCCAAAGCAGGTGGATCATGAGGTCAGGAGTTCAAGACCAGCCTGGCCAACATAGTGAAACCCCATCTCTACTAAAAATACAAAAAATTAGCCGGGCATGGTGGTGGTCACCTGTAGTCCCAGCTACTTGGGAGGCTGAGGCAGGAGAGTGGCTTGAACCTGGGAGGTGGAGGTTGCAGTGAGCCGAGATCAGACCACTGCACTCCAGCCTGGGCATCAGTGAGACTATCAAAAAAAAAAAAAAAAAGGACTACAGTTCTAAATAACCCATAGGTCAAAAAAAAAAAAAATCACAAAGGAAACTATAGAAGAAATGTGTGTGTGTGTGTGTGTGTGTGTGTGTGCGCGCCTCCTTGCCCGGCCTAGAAGATATTTTTGGTTACACGATAATGATAGCTGGGGGCAGGGTATGCTGGCTCACACCTGTAATCCTAACACTTTGGACGTCAAAGCAGGTGGATCACTTGTGGTCAGGAGTTCGAGACCAGCCTGGCCAATATGGTAAAACCCCATCTCTACTGAAAATACAAAAATTAGCCAGGCATAGTAGTGCGTGCCTGTAGTCCCCAGCTACTTGGGGGGCTAAGGCAGGAGAATTGCTTGAACACGGGCGGCTGAGTTTGCAGTGAACTGAGATTGCACAACTGCACTCCAGCCTGGGCAACAGACTGTCTCAAAACAAAAAAGGGAAAGCTCGGCTCTGTGGTTCCTGCCTGTAATCTCAACTCTTTGGGAGGCCAAGGTCGGAGGATTGCTTGAGACCAGTAGTTCAAGACCAGACGGCCACAGTGAGACCCTGTCACCACCAAAAAAATAGAAAGTTAGGCATGGTGGTGCACACCTGTAGTCCCAGCTACTGAAGTGGGGGATGCTTGAGCCTAGGAGCTCAAGACTGCAGTCAACCACCATGCACCGTGTACACTATACTGCACTCCAGTCTAGGTGACAGCAAGACCCTAAGAAAATTCAAATGATGGCTCGATGTAGTGACTAACACCTGTAATCCCAACACTCTGAGGGCAGAAATTCAAGACTAGCTTGGGCAGGACCCCATTTTAGGCTGGAGTGCAATGGCGCTACCTCGGTTCACTGCAACCTCCACTTCCCGGGTTCAAGCAATTCTCCTGCCTCAGCCTCCCGAGTAGCTGAGATTACAGGCACACGCCACCATAAAATGTTATAATTATTCTTTATGAGACAAGGAATTAAACACATTTGTCCACTATCACACCTCCATTTATCAGCCAATAAAAACAAGATTTTTTTTCACATTTTTTTCCTGTCTTTTGGAAATAAAAAGATTTTTAAGGGAAAAAAAAAAACCCTTGGTATTTGCTAACAATACGGTTGTGTATGTAGATAATCCAAAATAACCTACAAACCCCTAAAAAGCAGTAAGTGAGGCTGGGGGCAGTGGTTCACGCCTGTAATCCCAGCACTTTGGGAGGCTAAGGTGGGTGGATCACGAGGTAAGGAGTTTGAGACCAGCCCGATCAGCATGGTGACATCCCATCTCTATTAAAAATACAAAAATTCGCCAGACATGGTGGCGCATGCCTGTAATCCCAGCTACTCAGGAGGCTGAGGCAGGAGAGTCGCTTGAACCCAGGAGGCAGAGGTTGCAATGAGCTGAGGTCCAGCCTACGCAAGAGTAAGACTATCTCAAAAAAAAAAAAGGAGAAGTAATAAGTGAATTTAGCAAGGTCACAGACTATAAGGTCAATATACGAAAAAGTCAACTATTTGTTTTCATATACAATAAATAGCGAAACTTCAAAAATAGCTTAGAAAGCATAGGAAATCAAGTAGCTAGAAATAGATATATCAAAGAGTGTGCAGAAACTTTACCTTGAAAACAATGAAACATTCTTGAGAGAAAGAGCTATATAATTGATGGAATATATCATCTCCATGGATTGGAAAACAATATTAAAAATACTATGAGGTATTCAGGAGGTTTGAGGCAAAATAAAATAAAAATAAAATTAATAAAAATACTATGAGGATGCCAGTTCTCTCAAATTGATCTGTTTATTAAACTCAGCTCCAAGTAAAATCCCAGCAGGTTTATTTTCTGAAAATTAGCCGATTCTAAAATTTTGCCAGAACAGCCAAGGCAATTTTTTTTTTTCTTTTTGTTTGAGACAGGGTCTGTGTCACCCATGCTGGAGTGCAGTGGAGCCATCATAGTTCACTGCAACCTTAACCTCCTGGGCTCAAGCAATCCTTCCACCTCAGTCTCCCAAGTAGCTGGAAATACAGGTGTGCACCACCACATCCAGCTAATATTTTTATTTTTGTAGAGACAAAATCTTATTATGTGCCCAGGCTGGTCTCAAACTGTTGGGCTCCCAAAGTGCTGCCATTATAGGCATGAGCCACTGTGTGCAGCCAAGGCAATCTTAAGAACAAAATTGGATTTCTTCCACTCCCAGATACCTTCCTTTAACTTTCTTTTTTTTTTTTTTTTTTTGAGACAGAATCTTTCTCTGTCACCCAGGTTGGAGTGCAGTGGCACGATCTCAGCTCTCTTCGCCTCCTGGGTTCGAGCAATTCTTTTTTTTTTTTTTTTTTTTTTTTGAGATGGAGTTTCGCTTTTGTTGCCCAGACTGGAGTGCAATGGAGAATTTTTGGCTCACCACAACCTCCGCTCCCTGGGTTCAAGCGATTCTCCTGTCTCAGCCTCCCAAGTGGCTGGGATTACAGGCATGTGCTACCACGTCTGGCTGATTTTTTTGTATTTTTAGTAGAGACGGGGTTTCACCATGTTGGCCAGGATGGTCTCAATCTCTTGACCTCGTGATCCACCCGCCTCAGCCTCCCAAAGTGCTGGGATTACAGCGTGAGCCAC